TTTTTTTGATTTTTTAATTACAAAAACGTCAAGTCTGACGTTTTTTAACTGAAAAAGTCATTTTTTTTGATTTTTTAATTACAAAAACGTCAAGTCTGACGTTTTTAATAAAAAAATCAATTTTTTTATATTTAATTATAAAAACGTTTGATGACCCGACCCAAAATTTTCGAGTCAATCTGACAGTATAATGATTATAACTCACTAATAATTACCAAGTTACTCTAGTTTGATAATACGATAATGATCCAATATAGTAACAATCTCCTATAATCATTCTTAATTATAAACTTTATACCATACGGTATTAATAACAAAAAAAAAAGTTCTTCTATTCCCTTTTCCCTCTAAATCTTTCAATGGTCTTTCATAGTACTTACATTTAAAATATTACTACTCATAGATAAGTGCACCATATAAGTACAAGAATAGATGGTGAAGCCTAGAAAATCTTATCAAAAATAATCTAGAGTTCAAATCTGATGTTTCTAGTACATCATTTTAAAATCCTTGTTTAAATAAAATTTAATTAATTAAATTCCGTTATTTCAATTATTAAGAACAACATAATAAAAAATTTATTTGCTCAGACATAACTCAAATATTCTAAAGAGAAATTACACAAGGAATATTGGAATATTAAAGAGTATGACCAACGAAACAAAATCAGACCTGTTCGCAATTTTAATGTCAAGAGCCGAAATTATATGATGCTAGTCAACATGATAAATTATAGTTTGAACTGTTAGTCCTTAATGTACAGTTTTAACGAAGGTGATTAGATCATTTCTAAATTTATCCACTTTTCTTGACATTTGTTTCATTTGTTTGTTAACGTCACTTCAATATACCATACAATATCTATATTCCGTAAATTATAAATTAATAATTTGCGTTTAAATACTATGATTCTATACTTTAACCACTTCGTACTAGTCAAAAATTAAGAAATTATGTCACGTTCCACATTTTAGTTTAGGTATTTATTGTTTAATAAATGAATTCAAATAAATATAAAATAAATGGATAAATAATACATACTATATAAAAAAATATAAAAAAAAAACGGAGTAACGAAAAAAATTTGTAAATAAATTTAGACTTCGCTTATTTTTTGAAAAATACTAGGTTGAATGAAGAAACCATCTTTTACAATATTTAAATAAAAAAATACGTCAAAGTGTTAAAACGCTAAATAAAAATTATTGATTATTGTTTTAGATTTTTTCTTTGCCTTTAGATTTGCTATTTCGATCTAAATAAAAAAGTGTAACATATTACTAAGTACAAATAAAAAAGTTTATTATAAATACTATATGTTAAACTTACCGTCTTCGCCGTCTTCGTTAAAGTTCAATTGAGAAATATCAATTTGCAAAGACACTATTCAATAAATAAAGCATTTATTAGCAGTTAGTAATTTTATGATTGCATATTTATTCAAAAAATCAATACCTGATGAATTTATGTTAATTATACTGTCATTTTTCTCATAACAAACATCAGAAGTTTTTAATTTGAATAAATTATTATCGTTAATTTTCGATTGAGAAATATCAATATGTAAAGACAAAGACGCTATTTAACAAATAAGAGATATATCAGTATTTTACAATTAACTTGAACTATTCTATATTAATCAGTACCTGAAGCTTTTATGCTAATTATATTATCATTTCGTTCATCATAATAATCATAAGAATTTTTTGGTTCGGGAAGATTATTATAATTAAGTAATCTACTTGTATATATACTAGCTCCTGAATGTGTTTTGTATGATATTCCTAAACTAGTTGAAGGTTTAATGCAAGTTGATATATTATTATTTATTTGCTCTGCCTCTTTAATTTGCTTTTGTAATTCTTCACTTGGCATGTAATACCATTGACCAAGAGTTTCTTTAATTGTTTTTGCTGTTGGTCGGTTCAACGGATTTGCATCCAAGCATGTTTTAATAAGATGTATAATTAATTGTGGTACTTTAATATTAAACCTTGGTCTGAGCCCTTGACAAATTTTTATTGCTAAATTTTCATCATGACTTACATCATGATATGGAGATAATCCAGAAATTATTTCATACATAATTATACCAAAACTATAAACATCGGACGCTTTGGCATAGCTTTGACCTCGTAATATTTCAGGTGCAACATAAGGTAAAATACCATAGATATTATTTTCTGACGTATTATAATCTGCAGGTTTACATAATCCCATGTCTGTTATGACAGTGTTATATTTAAGCTTTAATAAATTACCAATGTGTAAATCTCGATGAATCAATTCTTTTTCATGAATATCTTTAATTCCATATGCAATTCTATATAAATGGATAATCTTATCGTTCAAGGTTAATTTATTATGAATTGTACTCAAATAATTTCTCAAATTTCCATGTTCTGCGTAATCCATAACCATAATATAATTATTTGTTCCTGGTTCTTAAGATATTCCATAAAGTTTAATAATACAATTACCCAAATTAACTTTATAATGTGATGTAATCTAAAAATAAATAAATATATGAGCAAAGTTAATTTCAATTTATATTAAACAAAAAATAATTTTACCTCATTCATAAATTCCAATGTAACATTTTTTGAATTATATAAACTTTTCAGAGCCACAAACATCTTTCGGTCTTTCCTCTTCCAATTCTGCTTTTTACCATCCCATTTATCTATACATCCATCAATCCAATTTGCTTCATATACTTCACTAGACCCACCCATTATAATATGCTTGATGTTATAAAGCCTATTATAAGGTATCCATTCTAGTGCATTACTTGTATAACAATCTGACAGTTGAGTATCTCGAATGAATTTATCAATATTGTCATTACCACTAGTCCAACTTTTAAAATTTTGTCGAAATTTTATTGCATCGCATACATCATTACATTTTTCACATATATCATTAACAACCACCATATAATCTTTTGTTTTTGTATTTTGAGTTATTCCATAAACTTTACGGGATGTTATAATCTACAAATATAATAAATTTTTTAAGTTCTTTAATAAAACAAAAACTTCCAAAATATTCAATTAATAATAAATCACTTTTACCTCATTTATAAATAATTTCACTTCATTTATAAATTCTAATGTAGCATTTTTTGAATTATTTAAATCTTTCAAAACCACATACATATTTTGATTTTTTCTTTCCCAATTTTGGTATTAATTATCCCAAATATATATGTATCCATCAATCCAATTTGCTATGTTCACTTCAGCAATCTTATGTAATTTATTATAAGGTATCCATTCTAATGCATTACATTTATAATAACTATGATCTGATAGCTGAGAATTTTGAATAAAATTATCAATATCACTGTCACCACTAGTCCAATTTCCAAAATTTTGTAAAAAATGCATTGCATTACATATATGATTATATTGTTTATATTTGTTATTAAAAACAACCATATAATTTTTTGTTTCTGTATTTTGAGTTATTCCATAAACTTCATGGAATGCTCTAATCTGCAATATAGTAAATATATTAAATATATTAATAAATATATCTAAATTTCATTAAATAATAAATTAGATATACCTTATTTATAAATGATTTAATTTCATCTATAACATTTTTTGAATTATTTAAACATATCAGAATTACAAACATATTCTGATTTCTATAATTCCATTCATCTATACATCCACCAATCCAATTTGCTTCATATACTTCATTAGACCCACTCATTATAATATGCTTGATGTTATAAAGCCTATTATAAGGTATCCATTCTAGTGCATTACTTGCATAACAATCTGATAGTTGAGTATCTTGAATAAATTTATCAATATTAATACTACCACTAGTCCAGTTTTTGGTATTTCGTCGGAAACGTATTATACTACATATAAAATTACATTTTTCACATATATCATTGATAACTATCATATAATCTTTTGTATCTGGATTTTGAGTTATTCCATAAACTTTATGGGATGCTGTAATCTATAAATATAATAAAATCATTAATGCAGTAATTAAAATTGTAATACTTCAAATAATAAGTAAATCATACCTTATTCATATATAATTTCACCTCATTTATAAATTCCAATACAGAAGAATTATTTAAACTTTCCAAAATAACAAACATATCTAAATCTTTTCTTTTCCAAATTTGATTTTTGTCATCCCATTCATCTATACATCCGTCAACCCAATTTGCTATATATACTTCACCCTTTACAATAATATGTTTAATATTATATAACTTATTATAAGGTATCCATTCTAAAGCTTTTTCCACATTAACATGAGCTGATAGCTGAGAACCTTGAATAAATTTATCAATATCACTGTTACCACTAGTCCAATCTTCAATATTTTGTAAAAAATGGATTGCATTACATATTTTATTATCCATTTCACATGAAAAAACCATCATATAATTTTTCGTTTCTGGATCTTGAGTTATTCCATAAACTTTATGGGATTCTGTTATCTACAGATAAATATATATATATTGATTATATTAGCGAAATTAGCAATTATTAAAATTTACTTAATTTAATAATAAATGATTTACCTCATTCACAAATTCCAATGTAATATTTGGTTTGTATTTTAAAATTACAAACATACTTTGATTTTTCTTTCCCAATTTTGACTTTTATCATCCCATTTATTTATATATCCATCAATCCAATTTGCTCTATATATTTTATCTTTAGCAACGCATTTGATATTATAAAATCTATGATAAGGTATCCATTCTAATGTATAATGGTGTATATAATACCTATGATGATATAATTGCTGAGTATTATGAATAAGTCTGTCAATATCATCATTACCACTAGTCCAGTTTTTGAAATTTCGTTGAAAATGTATTACACTACATACAAAATTACATTTTTCACATATATCATTCTGAATCATCATATAATTTTTTGTTTCTGGATCTTGTGTTATTCCTATGGTAATCTATAAAAATAATAAAATTACAAATATTATAATTCTTAGTAATAACTGATATTTTAATAAATAACAAAATAATTTTACCTTGTTCAAAGATCCTGTTATAGTATATTTTGGATTACTTAAATTTTTTAGAATCACAAACATATTTTGATCTTTTCTTTTCTAATTTTGATTTTCATTATCCCATTTATTTATATATCCATCAATCCAATTTGCTCTATATACTTTATCTTTCGCAATCCATTTAATATCATATAATCTATCATAAGGTATCCACTCTAATGCCTTTGATATTTGATAGTTTCTATGTGATGATAGCTGAGTATTATGAATAAGTCTGTCAATATCATCATTACCACTAGTCCAATTTTTGAAATTTCGTTGAAAATGTGTTACATTACATATATAATTACATTTCTCACATGTATCATCTTGAACCATTATATAATTTTTTGTTTCTGAATCTTGAGATACTCCATAAACTTTATAGAACCCTGTAATCTACAAATAGTTATGTTAAATATGTTAATAATAATTAAATTTAAGTAATTATATTAAATTAAATTATACAGTACCTTTTTTATAAGTCTTAATATACCATCTTTTGAATAATCAAAATATTTCAAAACCACAAGCATATTTTGATCTTTTCTTATCCAATTTTTATTTTTATTATCCAAATTATTTATACGGCCATCAATCCAATTTGCAATATATACTCTGCCAAACTCATCTTTTACAATACATTTAATATTACAAAACCTATCAAAAGGTATCCATTCTAATGCATAACGCGCATATTGACTATGATCTAACAGCTGGGTATCCTGAATAATTTTATCAATATCATTATTACCACTAGTCCAGTTTTTAAAATTCTGCTGAAAGAGTTTTGCACAACATATATTATTACATTTTACACATCTCTCATCAACATATAAAGACTTAATTAACTCTGTAATATTTTGAATGAAATAATCCATTTAAAGTTATAAATGAGTTCAGATTGATAGAATAATTAAAGTTTATTCGAAATTAAAAGAATTCCGGAAAAAAGGACAATTATTTTGCCGAAGATAACATAAATGGAATAGTTGATCACGTGTTCAGTATTCTCAAATTATACTATTATTTCATTGGGATGTTGATCATCTTGCCGTCATTTTAATCCCATCAATTTTTTGCGAAGCAAAACTATCTTACTGTGCCACAGTTAGATTTTAACGAAAAAATTATGAAAGGTTTCAAATATAGGTATTTACAGACTCTATCATTTGCAAGATTATTCTAGTATTATTTTAATAAGCAGGAAATTAGCCCGAAATTAGACCCAAATTAGCCCGAAGAAAACCAGGGAACCACCCGCCTTCTATTTTAAGAACAAAGAAAAAATTAATAAGCTGATCCGTATTTTTCTTTCACCGAGAGTGCTATACGTAAATAGAATCCAGTGTTGTTTATTTACATGTATTTAACAATGTTCTGGCGTCGGCAGAACATAGTGTGACCTGTCGATCCCTTGACAAATAATTGAGACTGAGAGGGTTGGAGCGCATATGAAAATAGCACATGTGAGAAATTTTCATTTTGATAAAATTTTATGTCTAACTCGTTCATCTCGTCTTCTTTCGACCTGCAATTTAACTTGTTTTCCGCTTTTATTATGAACATTTCGTGTAGCAACACAAATAGGTTTAGCAATAAGAGTTGACTTCAAAAAATATACGTAAAAGAAGTTACATGTAGCGAATGTAACGTGGACTAAGGTTTACAGTAAGAAAACAGCTCAAGTGGAAACACCCTAGTGGACCTTCTTCCGGACTAGTTTTTAATATTTTCCTTTACCACTATATACGTTTTTTTGGCTCCGCTTGGCTCTTTTCTCTCGGAAATTATTCGTTCATCTGGTTATGGCGCAGCAAAATTTTCAAGCGCGTTATTTAGGAAAGTTTGAGGGAAGATACACCAATCGGAATGAAGGGAATGATGTGATTATTGTGGAACACGATCCGGAACTAAAATTGCTGATAATTCAGAAAAAATTTTTCCGGGAATGGTCTTATAGAATTTAGAATTTGGGAAGATCATTGTTCATGTTTTACTGCGGTTAGGTCACGTGTTGGATGAGTTAGTTGTATTTTTTAAAGATATGGATTAGTCATAAAACGTAATGTTTTTAGATAGAATACTTTATTGACATGGTGTTTTTACGTCTAAGGCATGTTGTATGTTTTTTTAGACAAACAGCGTGCTACTAATAAAGAGAGATTTTTTTTTAAAAAAAAAAAAATTTTAGAGGTATAACAAATAAACTATCTCCATGCATTTATTCCCAGCATCACATGACTTTCTAGCTGCCGGCTATTGTTTGAATGAAATCGGAGACCGTTTGCGCAGTATGCGCTCGACTGCGTTCAACTGATTATCCTAGTGACATTTAGCGGGGACCTTTATCTTGACGATAATGTTAAAGCTCTAAGATTTTCAGTTTTGCATACTTAGGATAATTAAGATTTTTCACAACTGAAAATTCAAATAAAAAAATCAGCCGGTAATGTCAATTTTAGCACAGTCATGTTCTACTATAGAAAAAAGATTTAAGGGCGTGCGTTGTTTTTGAGTGTTATAACATAGGGTTTATGTGCTCGTAGAACCATAACAGGACCCAGAAATA